TGGCCAGATCATTTCATGGAAAGGATGCAAAAATTTGAGAGATTGAACAAAATTGAAAAAGAATCGAATGCACAAAAGCCCAAGGGGGTACCACCTATAGATTTAGCCGGTGACACTTGTTTCTATTTGTTTTGATTTCTTGTTTAACCGAACAACTAATTGTATATATTTGTATCTCAATATAAATTAAGTGTTACATATTCACTTTTTATTCACATTTGATATTTATGCATATTTGGTTCATATTTGGTCTTAACGTTAGTGTTTGTTATATAGTTCTATTTTAGAAATGGTTCAGGAGAAGTTCTGGAGATACATCTCCAGAAGGTTCTGTTATATGGTTTGTTTTTTAAATGGTTTAGGGAAAGTTCTGGAGATGCATCTCCAGAACAAGATTAACGGGTGCGCTTCCTGAGTTATATCTCTGAAATTAATATGACAGTTAATGAGTGGTCCATATTGAACTAGGTCTTCTACAAATTTAGTTGTTCTTGTGTTATATTTCACACATATTTAGTAGGTCTCAAATGTCACAAATAAACATCCACTAGTATGTCGCAAATGTCTCCTACTCCAGCGACTCTACACGTGGGAGGACGTTTAAGCTCATCGATCTCACCCTCTCGAAGATATCATAGACGAAATCTATTATCTCCTACCTTATGGAGACAAACGAAGGATTGTGAAGCTCGAGTGTCGTTTACCTTCGGTTAAAAACAAAGGGATCACTGTGTTCAGCAAATTTAAGCTCAAGATTTGAGCAAATGTTAAGGCTATGTGGGATACGTATTTCGGTTTCGAAGAGAAAGTTCCGTTTGAGTTGGAAGCGACGCTACAAAGATCGTTTGAAGATATCCTAAGGATGCGCAAGCGTTCAACGTATATTGAAATTTAATATTTAATTTTTTGTTGAAATCATCACTGTAATGATCATTTTATGTTATGAATGTCAATTGCATTTTGTAAAGTTCATTTTGTGTTGAATCTGTTTCTGGTGTTTTTCCAGAGATGTAACTACGAACTTGTTCTCGAGATGCATCTCCGGAACAAATTAAACCCAACATATGGGGAGCCTCTCAAAATGGCCTTGGTTGAGTGTGTAAAGGGTGCATCCGGATATATATATCTCTAGAAACAAGGGGCATTAGTGGAATTTTACACGGTGAGGTAGAAACATTTAGGGTGCAATAGATAATAAAGGTGTGTAGGCTTATTCGGATCGAATATGTGGTCTCCACTTGATCTGTATGCTTAACCTTAACTAGGACAGGTTCAGAGCTTTATAATTGTAACGTGGAAGTATCCTTTAAAAGCTCTTCTGGTTGTACGATCAAGAGATGAAAGAGTCATTTGCACTGATGGCCATGTTGATAATGTTTGTCGCAGTTATAACAAAGCCCTTTTCCAGGTCTGGCTTAAAGCTCATTCAGTGAAGTCATTTGCTAGGTGGTTGAGTTTTAGGGGGAATCAATGACATTGTAGTTTTAAAGGAAGAGTTAACGGGGTTGATAGTGGTGGTTGGGATGAGTGGTATTTGGGTGGGAGAGGGACGGTCCATCATCTTTTCTTCTTGCAACTCGGCAAGATTAATAGCTTATGCGAGCGCAGTTGGTTGAAGCACCAACAATTTGCCCTAAATCACCGATTTGAGGATGAAGACAAAACAACTTAAGTAACATGGTGGAGGGAAGCCTATAACCCTATTGGTCAGTGTCTCAAATTAAGCATGATACTCCGTTACTATCGTGGTTTGTGAGAGTTTTAAAAGAGCCCATTTCAGATCTTCGTAGTGTGATGGAGAAAAATGGGTTTCAAGGGCATAGAGGAAGGGAGTCAAGTCATAAGTTGACCATTTATTGCATATAATAAAACCATGTTAAAGCCTCGCCCTACATATAGAACGAAACAATTTGAAGTCATTCTTTATCTGGCGTCATGTTGTCGTCGAAGAACTTATTAATTTTGAAGATCCAACCCAAAGGATCGTTCCTCATCACCCTCTTCCTTGACTTTACCTTCCATCTTGTAGCAAATCTAGAACTCGTCAATTACAAACTTGTATCATTTGTATCATTTCACCCTCTTCCTTGACTTGTACATGGAACCACTTCTCATAAATGTTGCAGCAATTCCATAACTCATCAATTTAGATTTTGATCAAGTGGTTGAATGTTTTTTTTTTTGCACTGTTTAAATGTTACAATGTTTTTTTTTTTTTTTGGTTTCAGAGGTATTCATCATAAGCATTAGATATTCCTTCTCACGGGCATGATTTACACATTAAATATTAACTTTCTAGCTTAGAAGAAAAAAACATTGACTTTCAATTTTCATAAAAGCATGGAATATTGAAATATTAACTTTCTAGCTTAGAAAAAAAAAACATTGACTTTCAATTTTCATTAAAGCATGGAATATTGAAATGCTAACCTTCAAATATTAACTTTCTAGCTTAGAAAAAAAAAACATTGACTTTCAATTTTCATAAAAGCATGAAATATTGAAATGCTAACCTTCAATATAATAGAGCTGTTGTTTGTTCTGCACATTGTTTGTTCTACACATCATTTTCATAATAGTTGTTGTTTGTTCTACACATTGTTTTATTGAATTATTTTTGAAGTTTTATGATTTGCACCATTGCATAATCCTGTAAAGGATGAAGTTTATTCATGATTTTACATGAAACCTTTGTTGGAACACGTTATCACATCAAGATGAAACTGTCATATGGAAGAAAAATAGTATAATAAAATGTTTATAGTTCAAAGTAATGATTTTGTAATGTGCATTTATGAACACTTATTTCATTTTCTATATCACGGGAAAGTTTATAGTAACTTAGATCTATATAATATGTGTGCAATTATTCATAGCAGGAATTTTTTTTGCTTGTATTTCTAGAAAGAAGGATAAAAATGATGTGAAGATTAAGGAATGAGAAAATAATGTAAACACTGAGAAATGAAAAAAATGATGTAAAGAGAAAAAATAGATGGTTAACCGGAGAAGACGCCAGATGCATAAGTGCATAAATGGATGAGAATATTAAAATTTCTTTTCAAAATGTCTTTTCAAAATTTTAATTAATTTATTTATTAAAAAAGAGAATTAGAATAATTAATTCTTAATTAACTCGGTAAAAAAAATTAAAATTTAAATAATTAATTGATTAAAAAAATAAATTTCTAAAAGAATTAAACAAAATATCAATTAATTAATTAAAAAATATTAAATCTATAATCTATAATCTATAACATATATATAAAGACAATACTTGGTTTTTGGTGTAACTTTTTTTTATACCAAATTTATCCTTATTTTAAAGTATATAACTTACACAATAATTTCCATTGAACTACTACTATCATCTTTCATATAACTCTCTACTAATAACTTTCCACATAACTTCCATATAAAATTAATATTAAATAAAAATATATAATTTGTATTTATATGTGTGTAATAAAAAAGCGGACAGACGGACACGCGAGTGCCCGTCTGGACGCTAGTAATAAATAATCATAGTAACAATTATCAACTCATCAAAAATAAATTATGTCTCAATCATCATTGTTATATATATATATATATATATATATATATATATATATATATATATATATATATATATATATATATATATATATATATATATATATATATATATATATATATATATATATATATATATATATATATATAATTGAAATAGTACTATCAAAATCGCAATCTACATATATAAAATTGAAATAATACTATCAAAATTGCAAGTAATATAAAGTTCTCAGACCAAAAAATTGACTTTTAAAATAGAGAAATTAAAAATTAATAATCATCAAAATAGAAAAATCAAAAACACATTTAAGTCGTATCCATAAGAATTTAGCGCAGGTAACAACTTCAAATGACTCGGAACAAGACTTGTCACAGTAATTATACTAAATTGTTTAAAGTTTTTAAACTATGGCTCATATGGACTAACCCATATTTTTTAGAATTTTTTGGACTGAGCTATAAAAGATCCAAAAAAAATGGATTCACGAAATAAAACTTAGTAAACCGGTCCATGGGCTTCAATCCATTTTGATAGCTTTACTTAAAACCCACACTTGATCTAAACTCATTTTTAAATATTTCTTCCGTCCTATTCTATATTATAAGACGTTTTAAGTATTTTAAACGAATTTAAAAACTTAATTATTTTACTATAAAAAAATAAATTTTGTATGACTTTATAATAATATCCCTTATAATTACACATGAAGATAAATTAAAAGAGTTAAATAAATAAATAATAATAAATACTTGAATGATTTACTAGAAAAATGTCATTATTGAAAATATAAAATGATTTGTAATTTAAGACAAACTTTTTTTATAAAATAATTTGGGACAGAGTATCATTCAACAGCGTTTTCGGTTTGAAAAGCACGGTTCTCTAGCCTCTTTTCGCTGACCTTTCGCCATATCATAAGTTTACTCCATAGCACCAATGCTCTATTCCATCACTTTATCCTATGCAGGTTAATTATAAAATTAGGTACATGAAAATAAAATGATTTGTTATAAAATGTTCAAATCATCTTTTCGCCCAGGAAAGCATCATTAACCTCTATGTTAAGAGTGAAAACTCCAAAGTTTCTTATTTTCATGTACCTACTCTTATAGCTAACCAGAGAATGTTACGACTTCAGTTAAAATCTTCTAGTCACTATAATAAACAACTAAAACACTCCAAGTAATGTAATAACAAAACATTAAAATTGAGAGAGCAACACAACAACACAAACACAATACACTGAAGTGAAAGTATCAACCCTTATTATCGTTCTACCTTGCATATTATTAAATTCCATAATAATTTAAGAGCTCTTGGAGAGAGGGTTGAGCCTGGAGGCATGCCGTGACTCTTGTGAGTCTCCAGAGCCCAATTCAGTTAAACTTTCAACATCAATTTCAAAAACAGCAATTAAACAGAAATAACCTTCAGCGTCAAATCAAAGACTTGCAGATTGCGGCGGAGGCTGCGGCACCACATAATCAATCACCACCACACTCTCCACCCGATCCCTAACTTTATTCTTCTGATACTCCACCAGCTCCTTATTCGAATCAACTTCCTCCAACTCCTTCTCCCCCGGAAACACCGCAAGTGAAGCAACGGAGTAGCCCTTAGCTCTCGCCGGCGAGAAATTCTTTCCACAAGTCAGTTCCTTAATCTGTTTAAAACTCTCCGGAATTCCTCTAATAACATCCACAACCTCATCGCTAACAGCGTCCTCTTTCAATTTCATAAACGTCACACGAATCGCCGATCCCACCGCCGGAACCAAATCAGCACCTTCAACATCCTCCGCCACCCAATCCACCGCCATGATGTCATCAACAATCGGGAGAACGCTTCCCCTGACGACGCTAAGATGGCTAGGGTGCGCGGAGTAGGATTCCAGATCCTCTTTGGACTTGTACCGACTGTGAAGCATGTGCGTGAACGTTAACGCGGTGGAGCGATTGCGTAGGATAGGGCCGGCGGTGAGATGAAGGACTTGATCTAGCGAAATGAGGGAACTGAGTCCGGTAACCATGGCGGTTACTTTGGAGGCTTCGGTGTTTTCTTTGACTTTGAAGAGGACGATGTGTTCAATGGCTTTCGATTTGGTCGACATCATCTTAATCGTGGATCTGAACGGCGAGGAACGGAGGTGGTGTGTGAGGTGCTTTGAGGATGATGATAATGAAGGGGTGCGAAATGGAAAAGAGAGGTGCGTTTTCAAACACAGCATTGTTTGCAGTGGAAAATGGTAGTGAAAGTGATTGGATGGTGGTGATGATGAGTCACACGATTCAAGAATTGAATTTCTCGGATTTTTTATTTGTTTTTTAATAAAATAAATTCATTGGACGTTATTGTGTGATAAAGGAAAGAGGTCTGTAAAATGACAATTTAACCTGCCACCCTCAAAATTATATCTAATACCATTAAATTTTATAATCCTAAAATTTTCATTAAAAAATTTGAAACAAATAAAATTATTTTATATTGTCAAAAATTTCATTTTTTAATTAAAATTTTTGAAATTTCTAATAAAAGATAAAAATTTTAAAAAAGAATATAAAAAATTATCGGAGATTTCAAAATTTATAATACTGTATTTGAATGTTCAAAATTTTCAAAAGTTTTTTATACTATTAAAATTTTAAAAAGTTTTAATATTGTATTCGAAATTTCAAAATTTTTAATAGTGTAAAAAAATTTTAAAATTTCCGATATCCTTTATATCTTTTTCTCGAAAATTTTTATTTTATATTGTAAATTTTAAAATTTTCAATAAAAAAAATTTGAAAATTTTCGATATATAACACAAAATTTATACCATTGTAAATTTCATAATTTTTATAAAATTTTAAAGAACAGTAAGATAATTTTACCATAATTGAAGGGTGTGAATAGAGATGACAATTTAGTTCGTTCATGTGGATATCCACAAAACTACTCTCAAGGAATAAGATAAAAACCCACAAAAATAGATACAGACATGGGCTCGGATAATTATCCACTTAGATAAGTAGGGATCCACAAAACTACTCTCAAGGAATAAGATAAAAACTCACAAAAATGGATACAGACATGGACTCGGATAATTATCCACTTAAATAAGTAAGGATCCACAAAACTACTCTCAAGGAATAAGATAAAAACCCACAAAAATGGATACAGACATGGGCTCGGATAATTATCCACTTAAATAAGTAGGGATGAGCGCGGAGATGGGTATCATATTACTCACCCCGTCCCATACATGCACAATATATATTTATATATTTTAATTTAAAAATATTTATAAAATTTTAAAATAAAATATCAATTTTAAACTACTACGTATTTAATATAAATAATTATTTATTTTATAATTTAACAATAAATTTTTTTTAAAGCGTTTTAAAGTTTTCAAAAAATTTAAAAATTATAATATTTTATATTTAATATTTTTATTTTTATTAAAAATTCAAGTAATGGATATTTATACCATAAGACATGGAGACGGGTGCTAATATTGATATCTAATCGAGTATGAACTTTGATACAGAGATTTTTTTCAACCACAAATATGAAAACGGATAGTATAACATTCAACACAAATCCTGTTTATTATTATCCCTAAGTGTGAAGTCTAAGTGGGAGGATGCAGGTTAAATTCTCCTGTAAAATGTATCTGGGCTGAAGTTGAATGGCCCAAAGAAGGTCAACGAACCATTGGGGAGATTTTGTTTAAAGATATTTTTCATACATTTCACTTAATTTATATACCCCACATTTCTTGTTCTTGTCTCTACATTTTTACTATAAATAATTGAAAAAAATGATATATTTTTAAAATTTTAAATTATCTAATAGATTGTATTTTTTGTGAGGACTTTTTTAATATTTTAAATCTTAGAATGGGGTGATAGTCAACCTAACAAGGTATCTAAAATTTAAGACACGCATTTTCCAATTTTCCTCTTTTTACTACAAATTCTACAAAATAACATTATTTTCCATGAAATTTTAAAAGGTCAATTAAATCATCGATTGACTCCACTACACCATTTTTGTTTGAATGCTAAAGTAATGTGACTATAAGATTTTTTTTATTATGTTTTCATCTTTCTTTGTTACTATTACTTCAAACATTTTATATCGGTATTTTTTAAATTATTTAATTCGAGCATGCTCATAACGCATGTTTGAATCCTAAAATCCGAATTCAAACAAGCTTGTATATAATGTAAGTTTGAATCCTAAAATTTAAAATATGTGTTTATTGAAGCAATTTTGTTTTCTAACTGGTTGACATTGTTTCAGATGTGGATATTTTTCATTATTATCTCGTTCATGTAAAAGCAAACATTGTACATTTAGTTATGCATTATATTGATTGTCTTCTATAAATTACAAAAGATAAAAATTAATTTGAGATGAGTTGTTGACATGGATTCGAGGTGAAACATATAAATTATGATTTATTATTCTCATTACAAAATCAAACAGTGGAGGGCAAAAATAAAAAACAATCTATTGTGTTAGGGTTGTGAAATAGGTGGTGTAAATAAAAAGTTCAACAAAATGAAACTTTCTGACAAATCTGTGAGTGTCAATTTAGATTAAAGGGTTATTATTTGAGTAATGGTCTGGCGAAGTCTTAGCAATGTGCATAGATAATAAAATGTATGGAGTTCATTAATCTCGTTAATGATAATTACACGTCTATAAAAAATAAAATAGAAGCGCAAATAAATATGCAACGTAAAATGAGGAAGAAGGATCCGAAGGTGCTTTTTTTTTAATATATCCTATTTTTCAAAAATAATACTAAAATAACGTATTTTCAAAAAACAACAAAGAAGAGGCGTCGTTTAAAATGACATATACACTTAAAATAAAGGATATGTCAAATTTGCTATGACTCATACATATTAGTTACGTCATATGGTATGGCGTATTAATGAAACTTTAAAAAATAACTATATAGAGGCGTCATATGATATGACGTCTTAGTTAATTTTAATTTTTTTTAATAAAAAAAAAGTCATTTCATATGGCGCCAAAGTTCTTTTATATTTTTTCCTTCCAATTAGCATATAAGATGACGCCTAAGTGTTTTTTTTTTAATTTTTAATTTCTTATTTTACATTAGCCATTTTAAATGGTGCAAAAATATTTATTTTTAATGGGTAGATACGCCATATGATATGACTAGTACACTATTTCATTTTTCTATAAATAAGATTGTATGCTCATTTGTTACTCCACAACAATTACCACCAATATCCTTAACTCAATCTAAAAGTATGTCTGCATTTTTAAATCAGCGTTCATCATCATCATCATCAGATTCACCGCTTTCAACATTTCCACTTATGAAAAGAAATACCCTAGTTTTATTCCAGCAACAAAGTCTCCAATGAAGATCATACTCTGTAACACGCAACCTTGGAGCATTTTGATAGGGAATTGAACCGCTGGCTAGAAGGAGAAATTGCTGCAGGTGAAAAAATCAGGAAAATTGAGAGGCAAGTTGAGAAGTCAGGCCCAAATGGAGTACTCATGCTTGGAGAAAAGTGGAAAATTATGTTGGTGTCCTTATGATGATGTTAACACCAAATGATATTATCTTGATGGTTGCAATATCCTAGATAAGTTGATGCATTGAGTTGTTTTATTTGGGTATGTTGTTGTTATCTTTCGATTATTGAGAATGGTGAAGACTTCTGGTATGTTGAGATGTTGATGTATGGTTCTCAAAATATTGTCTTGATGGTTGTAATTGCGTAGTTATGTTTTTTTAGTCGTTGTATTTGTGTGTTATATTATTGAGTTGTTTCAGTTTATCTCAGTTGTTGTTTTTAAAATATTGTTATTGAATGTTACTATGAAAGAAATGAATGTTGTTTTTGATATAAAGAGAAATAGTTACATTTAATTAAATTATGTCGTTGTGCTTGGTCCAACATTGGGATATTTTGTACGATTGTGCTCGGGCTGACGGCATGAACTATATAATCTCACCATTTTGTTTGTCGTATCCATTTTCGTTCGAATACGCATGCTATTAGGGCGACTCTTTTTCTTTCTCAGCATAGTTTCATTGTGCCAGACTATTTTCCCTTCATATGCAGACCAATAGTCCTCTTGCAACCACCAGAAAGCTAATGTTGTAGACATTATATAGATTTACGACTCGGTAAACAATGGACAGTAAGTTGGAAGGGTCATGACGAGCCTTTGAACATGCCGCTATGACATGGGTGCAAGGCATACAGAAGGCTTGAAATTTTCCGTAGTCGCACCAATTTTTATCTAGTTATACTCGATAGGACCCCCTCGGTCTCCCTTCATTGTGATCCATTACCTTATCAACATTGAAATGGCCATTATTATGGTCAAACATTGTGGCCACGTGTGTGTTAGCTTTGACAGTTTCCTCCTTAATGAACGCCATTGAACTATCACTGAACATTTGTCCAGATTGTAAGACAGAACTCCATTTTGATCGTCTGATGTCAAAAAGTGCCCCAAGCCTAAAATAGGTTTACCTTACCAACGCGGTTATTGGTAGATTCTGAATGCCTTTGAATACAGAGTTCATTGATTCCACGAGATTTGTTGTCATATGGCCCCATTGTTGTGTATTGTCGTATGCCCTGGTCCACTTATCCAATGGAATTTGGCTGATCTATCTGAATGCATCTGCATTTGTCAATCTGATTTCTTCACGGTAGTGTTTGAAGGAAGGTTCTGTTAATGCATACCTTGCATTCACGACCTTCTTCCGTAATATCTTGTCTTTGATCTCCCTCATGAAATTTTGAGTGATGTGTCTAATGAAATTTTGTTTTCGTATAACATGCATATTTATGATAAGATTCACTTACACTATCACATGGCATGCATTACACTTTTTCCTACTTCATGACCCTATTTTTGTTTTCATATGGCATGCTTCTTTATGATAAGATTCACTTACACTATCACATGCTTATGTCCATGAATGCATTACTGAAAGATGCCTTACACATGCCTTACAATAAGATTCCTCCTCACATGCATAACTTGCACCAAGTTGCCATATCATATGACGCATAGCCTTTTTTTTCCAACTCGCCAAAGCATATGGTGCATACCCTTTATTCTTGCACTAAGGCGCCATATGGCATGGCTTATGGGTTTTAAATGAGCCTTATGCACCATATCATATGGCGTGTACCTTCAAAATTCCATGCAATTTATTTTTCTACTATT